CTCCAGTTGTGAATAGCGTAACTCAAGCCAGGGATAATAATCTGACCGATAGCGAAACAGCAGTGAGAAATAAGCACTGCCTTTGACCGCTGGGAAACACCGACCCATTCTGTAGCTGAGAAGAAGAATGAAGGTTCAGGGTCATCTTTTTCATAACATGCAGCACTATCTTTTGTTATTGCATCTTGCGAGGCCACATCTTTCTGCCTCAAGGCAAGGGCATCCTACTCACCAAAGGCCAAGGCAGTAATCATAATTCCTGACACCGAAGCCCCCACAACACACCTGAAGGCCATGTACACATAGAAATCGGGCACAAAGGCGATTGCTACCCCAAACAAGCCTTGGATGAGGATGGAGATCAGAAAGACTGTCCGACGGCCTATTCTGTGGAAGAAGAGGGAAGACACAGTTGGCATCTGAAAAGACCCCATGGGGATGGGAAGAGCCTAGGTAGAATACAAAGTTATTTGAGAAGCATTCACACCAGAGGACATTTGGCATCCATGTGAACCAAACCCCTCTACGTGCCCCAGGACACAACTGACAGAAAACGGAACATCTCCACTTCTGAACTGTCACAGTGCTAGCAAAGGCAAAAGGAGATGCTGCGAAAGGAACCATCTCTTGAAGGACCCCCATGTCCTCTCTCTCTAGAACAGTGAGGACCAGCCTGAAATGGGCCGTAGTGCTGGTTCTCCTGTGAGGCACCCTGTACGCATGCTGTGCCTTTCTCCCTTCTGTGTTCCCTGTGTGGCTATGCCCTCTAGGGAGCTGAGAACTTTGGTCCGTGTCACCATAAGCTGAGCAGAGCAACAGGAAGGACAGAAACGTAGTCTGGTTAACATAGCTGAAGGTGGGTCCAACTCTGTGCCCAAATGCAGGTTTCTGGGATTCCTGGAGACACAGTTGGGTAGCTAAGACACCAGCTGGAGCTAGGACTGTGATTCCTCCATAAGGCTGTATCTGTGTCCCTCTCTTTTCAGCCCTCAGACAGCTATAGACATGTCAGGTGGCCCCTGACAAGGTGTCCTTGCTCAGGCAAGGAGGGAGTATTTCGTGCTCAAATGCATGGACATCCTGAACTCTGAAATGGACTGTCCTTGGGTGATGTGCAACAACTCTGGGAATGTGGTTGTGTTTCCTCACCTGTCACTTAGTGGCCCAAAGATGATGGATCCTAGGAGAAGCCCCACCATGTAGATGGAATGGGAGATGTCATTCAGGTCCTTCCTGTCGCACACCAGGTCAAACTGGAGGAAGGAAACACAGATGCTTTTGCTCTTGACAAACTCCAGCTGCTTTTTGAGGGTTGGCAGCCCTTCTGGTGCGTGGTGGATCCAGGAGCTGGGTGCCTGAGCTCTTGCTCCAGCCCCTGGGAGCAGAGAACCTACCCACAAGGACACAAGCCTCTATGGTGTGCACCTAGAACACAAGTCAGTGGTGGGACAGGCATATGAGGTGGTCAGCCTTCCTCTTCATCGTGGTGCACACGTGTGTGCTGGGACCTGCAGGACTCTCCTCCAGCCCAGGAATCCTCAAAGGATCCTTCTGGTTGGCAATTTTTACTTAAATAAGGACCTTGGGGATGGGAGTCCTGGTAGCTTTCTCTCTGTCTGCAAAGACAGGGCAGTGTGGAAGGAGGAGGAGGGCAGAGCATTGTTCTCTCTGGTAAGGGAGGACCGGTGCAGGAGTGGGAACGGATGCAACAGCTGCTGAGAAGCCTCTAGAGAAGCTGGCTGTGAAATGGCCACAGTGCTCCAGGGACCCCAGGGAAACTTTGTAAATAACAGAGGCTGGCCTCTCTCCTCTGCTTTCAGCTGGTGACAAAGTCCTGGAGCGGGGAGTGAAGAAAGAAAGGAGGAAGTGAGGGGGAGAGGGAGGGAGGATTGAGGGAAGGTGAGAGGCGAACAGAGGCCCAGAGAAGGAGAAGTGGGGATGCTGGCAGACAGAGCCTGTGCTCAACATGGCAAGACGTGCCATGGGATGTCTTATTGCAGCCCTGAATGTCTCTGAAGGCCCTCAAAATACCAGTGACAAGCCCTTGGAAGATAGATGTCTTTTACAGAGAAAATGATGAAGGAGAACCAGGCTGGGGAATAAGGGAAATTGTGGCAGGGAGACTCAAAATGTCACTCCAGGCAAGATGGCTTCAGCAGCCTGGTTACTGGAAAGGTGAGGGATGGTGGGCAGAGCATGTGCTGGACTAGCACCCCCACCACCTCTGCCTGAGGTCACCCTGGGCATCTACATCAAGGTCTTCCTGCAATGGCCTCCCAGATATTAAAGCTGCAATCTGTGTGATGGAGCCAAGGTCCTGCAGTGCCTGGTGTAAATCTCAGCCTGACTGCACCATAGCTGGCATTGGCTCACCAAACTACAGGACAGGTTATGCCCATCCTTTCCCTTCTGCATCCCCAGCACGTCAAAAGGCAATTACAGACCTCGGTCAGCAGGGACGGTGCCTGTGCTGAGGGGTACACCCAGCCACGGCTGCACTTCTCCGTGGCGTTCAGGCCATACGCCACGATGGAGTCGAGGTCCCAGTCCACTGGCGAGTACATGGAGCACTGCTCGTACGCCCCATCCGCATCCCGGGGCAGGGTGAGGTTCAGCTGCTCTTCCTCTGTCAGGTTGGGGCCGATGGCACGGATCCAGCTGGTGTTGCAGTGATGAGGCTCATCCAGAACCATGAACACTTGGCCAATCATTTGGAAAGGATTAAGAAGCAGTGGGATGGAGATGAGCAGTACCAGCAATTTCTGGTACAGCCCAAACTCCCCCAGAGCACTTATGAAGTCTCCAAACTCAGCCATGGCGACTACATCTATGGCCAGGCTGCATTAGGGTACATTGCTTAAATAGGCAAATATTAATGTTTAAACTGCGTGAGCACTAAACCCCTAATCACGTGTGATAAATTCAGCACTTGTATCAGCACGTTTGTCTGTTAAGATGGTATATTGCAGTCTTCTGGGTGTACTTTGTCACCAGCCATTCCCTCCCTGCTCTTGGGGCTAGAACAAAGGTGCCAAAGCATTGCCACTCTTGCAGGCAGGACGGGGACAGCTTGTCTTGTCCCAGCTCAGACTGTCTTCCCAGGCCTCCTAAAGGCAACTGTGATGCAGTGCAGGGTTTTTCATGAGATGTGAAGTTGTGACTCTGCAAGTGAGGGCTGATTTTCCCTAAGTGTGGTAGAGCAAACAGGGTAAATTTGCTGCTCTCATTAGTTGCTTAATGGATATATAGCCCCTATGGGAGACTGTAGGAAAGAATCAGAAAAGCAGTTCTCCTGTGGGTCAGCAAATACAGCTGGTAGTCAAATAGACTTGGTCTTGACAGCTGTGTCCCAAGCTGTCAGTTTAATTTGCCCTATGTAGAAACCCTGGTTAGTCATAAAACTGGATCTAAACTACAGTGTTTTGAGGAGAATCCTAAAATAGATCTGTCTTAGAGACTACCCTTAAGAAAAGCAGAGCACATTACGCACACAGACATACAGAGCGCACAGGATTTGGTGACAAGAAATGACACTAGCTTGGCTTTGCTCAAGGTTCTGATGTCACTTGAAAAGCAGATTGACCTGATTTCTGCTGTACGTCTGAGCTGCTTCCTGGACAACCTCCCAGAGTGGTTTATATCTTTATTAGTGGAAACTGGAAAGCCAGATTGTCCTCACTATACAAAATTTGGTGTGTATTTTGTCAAAGGTCTCCTGGCTGCTTCCACCAGAGCTATAAGGACACTGACCTGCTCACTTCATGTCTTGCCTCAAATTCTTTGCCCTTCAGTCTCAACACAGGTAGTATGTCTGAGCCTCCAGCAAAGTTACTGAAGGATCACACAAGTCTGGGTTGGTGGTTCATGAGTGGGTACAGCAATGTTGTGCTTTTGGAAGCTGGAAGAGGAGTTGGAGATAGGATCTTAAAACGACACTCCCTAATCTGGGGTGGAAGAGGGAGGTCATACTGATTAATGCTATTGGAAGTAAAGGAAGAGAGGAGTAAAGTTTACTTAGAGTTGTGTAAATTCGCACCAGTGATGTGCATGTATCATATGCTTGCATCACACAGTTGAACATACCACTTGCCTCTGGATCCACGTCCTTGGATGAGAGGACTTGCTATTGTTCAGACACATGCCTTGAACAGCAGGTTGAGCTTAGCAACTTCCAGAGGTTCTTTTTACTCTAAAACCACCTCTGGGTATGTCGTGGGATGACTTGGCCAAGGAGACCCACTGTGGCAGAAACATTTTGACCCTGTCTTGACGAACAGGGAGTAGATGCCTTTTCCATCAGTGTGTGACAAAGCTGAAGTCTTCCAGCTTACACTGTTGTGTGCGGCTGATGGTTTTCCCTCCTACTCCTCAGCCACCATCATGTCCTGTGGAAAAGAGGTCAGCTTTTGACTATAAAAACTCCTTGTGGAGACCCAGACATGACTGCAGTCTCATGCAATAATGCAGATGTGACTTCTTGAGGGTGTTCTTCCTGATGTCACCAGACAGACTCTTCTGAAGCCTTGGGAAAGCTTCAGTCCTTTGTGAACTCTGCCACCCTAAGATGACATTTCTCATAGAAAGACATTGTTTCTATGACTGTCTTCATCGTCTGGGGCTGAGGGGGTCGATCCTGCATGTGGAGCTATCTCAGGGACAAAGGCTGGGTCATCCCTGTAAACTTCTCTTTCCTGGAGTGCCACTGCTAGTGTTTCTGTCCTTATTTCCCTCTGTCCAACAATATTGCCCTGGTGAATTATTAACACTTGAAAAGCCTTTTGAAAATGGAAAAGACTCTATCAGAGCGCAGGAGAAATCATCAGGTCTCAGGAAAGACCTGGGTGGACAGCTGGAAAGCCTGTACATCCATGTACAAACATCAAGGTCTAGGGGAACGGAGAGGGAGCATCCGAGAGAGTAGTTCGGAAAGAGAAACCATTGCCTGTGGAGGGGGACTGGTGCAGGCAGTAGGGTATTGATGCATAATTAATGACTTGGCTTTTTTCTTACATGGCTCTGGACATCAGGAGTGCATGTGGTTGGAGACCCATTTGGACTCCTGGTATATTGGGGATAATTGCGGTTAGAACAGATTCATATTTGCCAGCTGTGTTGCTCCTGCATTTTCCTTCTTCCTCTTAGTGCTGGCAGAGTATCTCAGGCACAGGTACTCAGGCCACTCCTTGCCACTGCTTCAGTGAAAGCTGCTTGATCCCTGAAAGTCTTGAGGTCTCATTTCTCCATCTCTAAATGCAGCTTGACCATGTTTCGGGCAAGGCTGTGAGATGGCAGCACCTTTGTCCCAAGTCTCTTGCCCTATCCCAAAGAGGGACTGACCTCAACATTTAAGGAGTCATGAAATTTTCAAGTTTCAGGCCATCTCTCTTTCCCTGATTCATGTTGACTGAACACTCTCCCTGCACAGCTTTATTCCTCCAGTAGATTGGACAGAATCAGGGTTATTTTGTCACTGGAGAGACAGGAAGTTTGTTTTTTTGATTTTTACTTTATTTAAAAATTAATTAGTTTAACATTTTAATCTCTTTTTTCTTCCCTCTCCCCCCGCCCCAGACAGCTGATTAAACCAGATGAAATTATATGCTCCATGATCCTTTTCATAATACGCATGTTCTTGCTTTGACCATCTGAGGCTTCTGGTGAGCTTGTTTGTCTTTCAACATTAGCATAATTGTTAACTCGTGTAACAATTCTGTTTTGGCAACAAAGGACAGGCAGGGACAGTTAGAGTGCAACCATACAGGGAGAGCATGTATCAATGTCCCCATGCCCCAAGACTTCAAGAGACCTGGGTTCCCTTTCCTCCTCTGCCTTTCTGACTGTGTGACCTCAGCAAAGTAATTTCACTTATCTTTGCTCATCATTGTAAAATGATGCTAATGATGGCGACCTTCTATATGAAGCAATTTTGTAGTCTCTTGGAGTCAAAATAAAATGAGGGGAGTGAGGTATCACTATTATTAGTTGTAGGCAAGCCACCCAGTAAAAAAGTGTATGATTCATCATGGGTTGGATTTATCTCTGGATGTATAAATATAGTTGTCTATATGTGAAATAGGTACGTAAGGTTGCACTGTAGTTAGTGGAGATGGATTGACACAGTCTAGAGAGCTGTTAGCTATTTGAATGTAGTTGTCTGTTCTAGGGTGGGCTGAATCACTCCCCAGGCTGTACTTACTAATTCTCCATTGACTCTGATGTGGGCTTAAGCATCTGATTTACATTGAGACTCCAATATCACAGACACCTAAATCTTATTTGGAGACAAATATTCATCCTACAGCCTCAGCTTTGCATTTGCTCATTGCATTTTACTTGCTCACTTGTGGCCAAGAATTTGGTTCCCTCCTGATAATGGCATTCTCTTCTCATTTGAGTTTCTAGTTCTTGATTAGCTTGTTGCTCATGGCTGCTTGCTGGTTGGACCTCTTCAGAGGTCTGTCTCCTCTCTGCTGTGCAGACTGTGGCTATGCAGACAACCTCTGAGGGACCTTGGCAGTAGATTGTGTGGAGGATGCCTTCTGCAGAAGACCTCTAAGTGCAGAGAATAGAGTGCTGATTGGTTTCTCTTTGGAGGTTCCTCACAGTAAAGCAATTTCTTGCAATGCTTTTTTTTGGGAACTGAGCACTGACCCACTATGACCAAGAAAGAGATCTTAAGTTTAGCTCCTTAAGTCGTTAATAGATCAGCCTATGCCCAACTGAATTTGTCTTGTGCCAGAGGAGTGGGATATTTCTAAACTGATTTTGTGAATCAATTTTTGTCCCATATCATACATATGTATCACATATAACTTGTGCTGCAGGGGTAGATTCTTTTTTTAATCTTTTTTTCCAACTATATAAAGAACTCCTGCTCTATAAGGCCATCATTTAAGACATTCAGGTCTTCAGAAGAGAGACTTTCATTATCTTCTTCAACTCCTGATGTTTTTCTGCTCCTGTTCAGTTTTTCAGGAGTCTCCTGAACCATTTTGGTAGAATCAAAATCAAAAGGGTCAAAGAGATGCTGAGTACAAGTTTCAGAAGCATGACTGGTCAACATGTGCATTAGGGGAAAATTATCTTCCTGCATAGAGACATGCTTGTTTGTTGAGCCTTCAGCACTGAGACCCCATTCAAATGTGTCTTCTGCAGCCTTTGGAGCCTGGCACTGTGGATCCAGCTGCTGCAGCAATGCACAGCTCTGGATCCCTTCTGGGTCTCTAATATTAATCTCATCCTGTCCAGCAAGAAGCAGGGGACTGGAGGTGTCCCACAGCGCTAGTGGGGCATTTGTTTCTGCTGAGATTTCCTGGCATGATTCTGAAAGATCTGGATCAAAGCAAGGTGGAGCTTCTTCCTCTGAATTTTGCAAGTCTGAATTTGGGATCTTACTTCCTATGCTGGGAAAATCTTGTCTTCCAGAAAATAACAGATTATTGTCCTCCAGAAAAACCTCGTTATCTAACTGAAACTCAGCTTCCTTGGGTAACTTTTCTGAATTGCTTGGTGAAAAAAATATCCCATCCTCTGTCACTGTGTCCTGGACATCCAAACTCAACAGGTTCTGAATTTCTAGTACATGAGCATCATGATAATTTTCTTCCCTGGTAAGATTTTTGCTCTTCTCAGCTGCAGCCATAAGCTCTGCAGGAGGATGTAGAAGGTTTCTTCCACCTTCTGAGGTTACTGCAGTTTCTTTCTGATTTTCCTGTGCTGTCACGAGAGAGGTGCTGAACTTGACTGTTTGAAGACAGTTGGTCATGAATGTCAAGTTCAGTTCTCTCATGTTTATCATGACATGAAGTGCTTGTGC